AGTATGCAGATATTTAGACACTGTTATTTTGTCAGCTATTCCAGATTTAAGGTACAGTTCTGAAGTCAGGCTATTCATTCGGTTTTGTTTATATGTTTATTTTGAAGTTCTCAAAAATTAGTTCATTGTGTATTTATCTCTTTAATTGATCATAAATTTGTTGTCATTCCTTCTCCAAACACAGACCTTTGGATATGGCAAGCATTCTATCAATGGTAATTCACTAATTTAAAATCTGTCTCTGAAAGAAAAATTACTGTTTATCTCAAAGCTGTTGTAATTATTTTATGTCAGCATACAATTGCTGTGGCTGGCCAACTAGGATATTTTCTTTTTCCTGGTCTCTTATTACCATCTATGAAAAAATTATTAATATTACTTTAGTATGATTTTGATAAGTAGAACTTATTCTTGTCTAGTTGCTTAGGGACACCAAACACAATCTCTTTTCATGGGTCTGAAAGTCTTAAAAAATCCTGGAGGAAAAACAGCCCTTTAGTTGAATATTTACTGAACCACAAATCATCAACCTACAAGAAATGCAAAGTTCTGAACAATTTTAATTGTTGGAAGGTCCTTATGTTACGAACACATTTTTATTTCTGCAATTGTCACGTGTTGCTTTGGCATGCACACTAGAAAAGTCTATGTCATACTAAATCCTCTTTATTTTTTTCTTTTCTAAATATTTCTAGATCCTTCAGGTTGTCTTCTTTTAACCTGGTTTTCAGACTTTGGTCACCACAATCTTGACATAATCTACTTAGTCATTAATGTTTTATAAGATGGCATAAAAACCGAATGTAATACCAATCATATTACTACTAGGACAAGGTGAGTGAAACAGTGACTTCAGGAGCAAAATTGAAGGGAGTGTCAAAAAACCTAGTAATCGGAAAAAAATTCAAATACAATATTAGAAAAAAAAATTAATTCTAAAGGTTTAGATGAACAAAATTTTAAGTAAAGACAGAGCTGGGATTTGGGTGTGATGACTGAGGTGAATCATAAAAGTACAGAGTCTGCTCCTGTCTTTATTAGACATTTCTATTTCTTTGACTTAAAATCCTATTTGGACATTAGAATCAACTCTTGAGAGGAGCCAGCCTAAAGACGTTGGTCAACAAGTACTCATTTCTAAGATGCCCAATGTACACTATGTGTACCCAGAGATACCAGTAAAAATCCTGTCTGTGGCTTCTCTTTTCAGTTTGTTGCTGCTAATACTGCCTTTGCTTCTTACCAATGTACTTTTAAGCTTCTTTGTGCCTTGGCCTCCAGCCCACATCACAAGTCCTTGTGCTAGATCATTCTTTTTTTTTTTTTTTTTAAAGATGTGGTGTGCAATTCAGGATTAGGTACACAAGTAGTCATCGTACAGGTAAAATTTGGCCAGACTACTCTTGATGATGCAAATATACCTGGGGAAGCCCATTCCTGACTCCATTTTAACTGGCTTAGATTGGAACGCTTTTTGTGTTTGCATACAAATTATCAGAAATTTCACCCAACTTGATTTTCAAAAAATGGCATTTATAAAGATGTAGACCTCGTAGTTCATATTTGATTGTCTTAGTCATTGAATAGACTCAACACATTCCATTTTTCCACAAGACCAAAGTAATTGTACAAAAGTGTTTTTCCAGATTACCTGATCTACAGAGGTTTGAGTTCTGCAGAACCTACCTTGTAAGTTCAAACTGGTGATAAAAACTGAGGTCAGGATGTTAATAAAATGAGGGAATTTGTTCTTTTAGCCTGTTTTATACAATAAATTCTCTCTGCCCCAGCACTGTCTTAGAAAAAAGCCTGAGTAGTCTCCATGCTTTGGGCCTCACAGCTTGATTACATCACACCATCAATATCCTCTTTAAAAGCCAGAGGCCAGGTTTTATAACAGCATGGTTTTAAAAAAATGGCAGTAGGAAATTTAAAGTTGGACAATTTATATTGCTGCTATAATTTATTTGCACCTAAAAATAAAAATCATAGAAGATGAAGCATCATTGCCTGCAGGAGGGGTGCAGTGTCTGAGATCACTGTAATTTTCTTCCTCTCATTTTTTCCCATAATCTCTTATTGAATAATTATTTTATTCTTTACTTGTGCATAATTCAGGCAAGCTAGACAGAAACCAGAAAATGTTTCTTCTTAGGAAAAAAACCATAATAATTAAAGAATAAGTCTAAAGTTAGTCACAAATGTAGGCATTTTAGTTTGGGGGAAAAGTTTAGAAGATGACCCCCTCTGAAATGGACACCAATGGGATGTAATGTGACTGCATCTTAGATGTTAATCGACCATGTTGTCTCCTGACTAACCCTCAGTCAGGAATGCCTCCAAGATGTCTATTTGAGCTATTACTCTCTATGTAGAAACACTTATTTATGGCAACCCTTTCCTTCAAAACAATCCTTGATGTTGTTGTATACATCATAGGCTGTGACACACATAGGATTCTCTTAGTCACCTGTGCATTCCTTCTGGGGCACTTATACTTCCCCTGCAACATATATAAGCCCTGGTTCTCGAAGGTTGTGATACAGACATCTACTTGTTCTGTGGCTACCCAAGACCATAAATCTGTCCATAATTTCCTCAATAAATCATCCTTTACCGACAAAATGGATTCGTCTGCCTTGTTCTTTGGTTGCTCAGCTCCTTCTGCATTTGGGGGCCACTTTGTATATACAGACCTTTCACGGAACAATGTGAAGCTGAATTATATTCATCATTTTCGAATGATCTTCTTTGAGAGATTCTGTAAATGATTTGCTGTGTAGGCCTTGACATTTCATTAGGCTCCCCATCAATCTACTATAAAATAGTAAACCGTGAACTTTAATTGTGAATATCCTAACATATTTATGAAAGATACAGATGATGGATAGAAAAAAATTGCTTTTCAACAAGGCACAGAGACACTGCATCTGTCAGGCAATAATGATGATGAACACAAAACAATAATTTCAATGTATTGAATATGTGAGAGGAGTAATACCAGTTTCCTTAGGCATATCAATTTGAATTATTCCAATAACTTTAGTCAATTGTAATATTTCTGTTTAAAAAGTATGCAAACCAAAGCTCAGAGAGGCTACATGCCTCGCCTAAGGTCAAACAGTGGGCATGTGGTTGTGACAGGATTTGGGATCCTGTCTGTCTGTCTTCATCACCTGGGTCTTTTGTCTATGAACTCTCTCTCAGCTGTTCACATGTTTTTTCCATTAGAATGGTACACTATTTCATGAGACAATCCCCAGGAATCATCCCAGGTTGGAAAAAAATGCCCCAGAAAGCTTTCCAATTCAGATCTACAAATCAGCACTTGTTTTTAAAATAATTCAGTTCTCCAAGGACTTCAGTTTTAAGAAATGTGCACCCTGGATGAAGACACTGGTGTGCTCACTACTGGAAATAAATCATTTAATAGTTTCCATATTTATTTTTCAGTATTCTGGTTTTTAGATTTTTTTTCCCCATGAGTTATATTAGTCAAAAACCTTTTGACTAACACTTGATCACTCTTGGGCCACTCTTGGATGAACTACTAAATACAAGGTCATGAAATGACAAACATGAGAGATAGTTTCATTGGTTTTCTATGAATTTTCTTATATTTTTTTACCTTACAAAGATGTCTCTACAGGAGGAATACCAAAGAAAGCTACGTTCTGTGAAGCTTCTCACTGCCTTTTTGCATATTATACTATGCCTCAGATGCTTGCCCTGTCTTGTTACCTGAAAAATATTTTCCTTCTCTAAAATCCAGCTCAAATGTCATCAGTTCTTTTATGAAATCATTCTGAAACTGCCCACCTCACACCAAGTAAAGTCCATCTCTCTCTCTCTCTTTTTTTTTTTTTTGAGTCAGAGTACAGTGGCATGATTACGATGATCACAGCTCAGGGCAGCCTCAACTTCCTGGGCTAAGGTGATCCTTCTACTTCAGTATCACAAGAAGTTCATACTACAACACATGTCAGCAGGCCCAACCAATCTTGATTTTTTGTAGAGACGAGGTTTTGCTATGTTGCCCAGGCGAGTCTCGAACTCCTGGGCTCAAGCAATACACCTGCCTTGGCCTCCTAAAGTGCTGAGATTACAGGCATAAGCCATCGCACCCAGCCCACCTCTCATTTTTTGAAACTTCCATATAATTTTGCATGTTCCACTTGTCTATTCACTTGGCATACTACAGTAACTCCTTCTATGTAATTCTGCTTTTCCATTGAGCCCATAACCTACCCAATGTTGTAAATGAAGACAGTCACCTTTATAACCCCATCATCTACTATAGCACCTTGTATAGCAAAAAATTCTCAATAAATTTTTGAAGAAATAACATTAAAAACCATGCAATCTGGTTTTTGAAAACTGTAGCCTTCAGGAAGATATAAGAAGATGAGTACTTACTAGGGGCTCATTGTCTCCTTGAGAAGCTTAACTAAGTCACGGTTGTTGAACTGAGTTTGTGCTAAGTTCACTGAACTTGATTTATCAGCATTAAATTTCTTCTTGTGACTCTTATTTTGCTTGCAATGGGTCTCTTCATGTTTAACATAGCTCCCCACTTATAAAAATCATGGGATGCTTCATAGAACAGTGAAAAAAAATGTGGAGCCTTGGGAAGTCAAGCGACTTACCAAAAATTACACAGCTAAGTAAGAGAGTGGAACTAGAATTCTGGCTCTGTGGGCCCCTTTGCTAGTCTTTCTAGTAGACCAGGATACTATGAAAAAACAATAATAACTCTTTAAGCTTGCTTATAGCTCTTTATCCTATTTGTCAGTTTTTCTTTAATAATTGCAGAGGGCACTATACCAGAGAAAAAGTTGCCACCAGATTTGGTGACTTTCCATACAAGGCCATTCATAAATTCAATGTTAGAAATATTAGTCCCACACTGAGATCTGATTTCCTTTTCTCAATACTGAAAGCAATAAAATGCAAGTACATATTAATCTGGTCATACTGGCTGTCAATAACAAAATTATGAGAGATGACACTAACCATAGTCTGTGTTTTCCGGTTCCCAACAATTTGATGGCCAAAAATAAGGTGTCTGTGGAATGAAAAGAAGTGGAGCCCAGGTTAGACAAAGAAAACATGAGTAGAGTTTCTGGTTTGTGAGTTGTGTTTATCTTTAGCAAGTATCTAGAATAGCTTGCCAATGATATATATTTTATAATTCAGAACAAGTTCCCAGAGAGACAGTGTAAGGTTTTTGTCTACATTTACTTTATTGACCAGTTACTCAGTCTCAGGTAGGTGTAGCACCAGCAGGTATTTAAATTGTTATACATTTGCTGCAACTTTACACCAACTGGCATAAAAGGAAAAGGTCTAATTGTCTTATTTAAACAAAAAGTATTGCAGAGGGCACTATACCACAGAAAAGTTGCCACCAGGTAACTGAAACAGTTACTGAAAGAGTTTTGTATTTAGCAAGACTCGGGATGAAATACATTTAAATATAAAAATTGTTTTCTGTGTCTCTCAACACTACTTTGGTAGATCTACAAAGCTCTACCAATGAATAAAATATTTTTCTGAGGTCTGGTAATCAATTATCTTGCTCCAGTGATTACATAATGTAGCCCTCAGCATTATCCAACTAGATTCAAACAACTTTTTACCCTCACTTTAAAAAATATTTCTTCATAAAGACATTTACTGCTTGGGAGTTTTAAATCACACATACCAGAGATCATTTTTAAACTAAGAATGCCTTGGTTGATGTGATTAATAGTAGGCAGAATTTTGATTCTATAAAATTCTTGAAACGAATTGACTAAACAACAGTGAAAAATCTGGTCAAGAAAAATCTCTTTTATTATCATCAACATTCATATTTTGTAAAAGAATATTTCTAGCCTTACTACCTAGTCATGCTTGGTTCTAGACGTAAGAAAATTTGATGATCAACTGTCTCCTTATCAACTCCTGTTCCCTAGAATGATAATAACTGCAGGACTCAGTGAAACATTGGCTGCCAACATCAGCATTGTGGATCTAATTATATGTATAGTAGCTATATAATTATAAATTATTATAATTAGTTATTATATATTAACTATTAACTGAGTTATAAATCAACTATATGCTATATATTAGTTACGTAACTATAACTACTTATATATAATTATAACTCATTAAAACTAATTGTAATGAATTACTTACAATTAGTTATTATTTATTTACTATCCATATGTAGAAAGCATATTTGAGATAATCTCTGATTATCCGATGATTTTCCCCTCTAGAAAAGTGACTCTCATGGAGGGAAAATGAGTGGTTGAGAACTGTTTAAATCTTTGGGGGAGAGTCTATTCAAACCGTCTGAGATCCCTGGGAGATTTTGATTTATCCTCCAATTTTTCTTGGAAATAATAGCAGCAAAATACAAGCTACTGATAGTAGTTTTGTGCACAAAATCATGGAAGAAATTTAGAAGATAAAGGAGAATATCAAGATTTTTATATAGGCTATCCTTGTCACCCTATTCCCACCAGACTCCAAGAAAGATGAGGCTTTGAAAATTTGATTTCTTAGAGATCAAATTGAATCACAATTTTAGAGGAGCTACAGTGGACAAAGCAGTTAAAACCTGGCTTTCATGTGAGATGCAGGTTTTTCAGATGCTTCTCATAGAGAGCACTATTCCCTTTGTGTTGCTTTTTTGGTGTATGTGTGTGCATATCTCTTTCTCTCTCTCTGTGTGTGTATGTGTGTGCACACTTATGCATATCCATTGATCTAACTCTAATATACCTATTCTAGGCAGACTGGTCACACACATACTTTTTTCTGAAAGCCACAAGAAGTATTTTCAGCTGCATTCTTAAAATTTTTCTTTATTCTTTATCATTTACTTTAGTGAGAATTTCATGATTGTAAAACTAATGAATGAAGCAATTTTATCTTGTGATATTATGTGGAAATGTCATAAAATCAAAATTCTTCACTAATATTTTTTCAAAATATTTTTTCGAGGAAATAATGTTTTTATTTATAGTAAAAGATAATATGAGATTAACAAAAGTTTACAGTTTGTTGGAATTTAAATATCTATTTTAATAGTACTATTAAACTTTAGGACACTTAAATAAACAAGTTTCTCTGTTATTTGATGCTGGCTTCCTTAGCTAGGACGAAACTCATCCCAAACTGTCCAGTCATTGCTCAGTAGGCTTTGCCTCATATACTGTGTTGCATGTCACAAAGGAAATCTAGAGAATTGTGTCAGATCTCAATTTCAATTAGCCAGGAGAGGATGATTAGACAATTGTGAGCTTACAATAAATACAAAAATCATATGACTAAAACATGTACTAAATATTTGAGACAAATTTACATACTGTGTCATACCAGTGGCATTAAGAGTTCTATTTTTTCTCAAACTCATACTCTGAAGCCTCTTTAGATTCCTACTGATGGCTAGAATCTCAATCATTCATGGGAAGAGCTATACACATGGCATTCCAAGTTTATGTTTTTTAAAAAATCCTTTAAACAGTTGAATTTCAGTTCAGTGTAATAAGGAACTTTCTGCTGGTTGGAACCAATATAAAAATGAAAGTGAATACCTTGAACAATAATGTGTTTTCTATTATTAGAGCAGTACAAATATAGTCTGATTGAAGCCCTGGTAGACGTTACTGTAGGAATTCAGTTAATCCTGAATTTTTTATTATTATTTTTAGTTGGAGTCTCACTCCATCGCCCAGACTGGAGTGCAGTGGCACGCTCCTGGTCACCGCAGCCTCGACCTGCTGGGCTCCGGCGATCCTTCCGCCTCAGCCTCCCAAGTACCTGGAACTACAGGTGCATGCTACCACGCCTGGCTAATTTTTGATTTATCGTAGAGATGAGGTCTCTCCAAGTTGCCCAGCGGGCCTCAAATTGGCAGGCTAAGGCAAACCACTCACCTCAGCCTTCCAAAGTGCTGGGATTACAGGCTGAACCATTGAGCCCTACTCTGAAATTTTTTTTTTTAAATCTTGGCTTTAGGATTATAATCTTCGAAAAAAGTTTTAAAGTCAATGATTAAAATGATTTTTAAAGCACATTTCCTTTGTCCTCGGTTTTTCCAACCAAGTTTTAGGTTACTAAGTACCTAAATTACTAATATTCTATGATTATTAGATTTAGGAATATGTTATATTTAGATACTACTTCAAATATGAGCACTTAATATTTAACATTAATTAATGTAATTATAACATTACATACATACCTCCTAGTTATGTAATTTATGTATCACTTGCACCCATTCCCTGGTTTTGTTCTAAAGCTCTTTTAAAACATTCTTCTCTTTTTTCCAGAATTTATGGTGGTTCATACATTTAATGGTCATTTTTGACCTGTGAAGTTGACTAAATACGTAAATCTTGTCTTCTTACTAATTTAAAGTTCACAAATTATTGCTAATTCAAGCTATCATCTCTCACTTTGAGCTATGTCTAAGATACTTTATTTTATAAAATAATTGCTGAATTAGATAATTCTCAAAAGATTAACTATATTCAATGTTTCCTTTATAGATATGGTATTTTACATATGGATTATTTTACTTAAATATTGATTGTGAAGATAAATAAAAATTTTTATCTTTGTAAAAAATACAAACAATCTCTCATTTAAAATTTGTGAGATTAAAAAATTATAAAAATAAAATAAAATAAAAACTGTGAGATTGTGTTAGGTCTAGTTTACTTATAGTCTCTATATTCAAAATGTTTATAAGGAAATTATATTATATAGAAAATGTAGCCCAGCAGGGCACAGAGGTCCACACCTGCAATCCCAGGACTTTGGGAGGCTTAGGTAAGCAAATTGCTTGAGCCCAGGAGCTCAAGACCAGCCTAGGCAACATAGTGAGAACTCATCTCTATGAAAAGAAATAAAATTTAAAAATTAGCTGGTTATGGTGGTGCACACCAGTAGTCCTGGCTACTCAAAGGTTGAGGTACAAGGATCATCTGAGCCCAAGAGGTCGGGGCCATGGTAAACTGTAATTGCACCACTAATTTCAGCCTGGGTGAAAGAATGAGAACTTGCCTCAAAAAAAAAAAAAAGAAAGAAAGAAAGAAAGAAAGAAAATACAATCCTGCAATATAAAGGAGTCTACTTTAAAAATCAAGAAGAGCTAGTCACATATAAACAATATAGTTGCAATCACCAATAATTCTTAGTTATTAAACTTTAACCTTACAATGAAGTTATTCTAACTTAATAAACTTAATAATAATAAGTTGTTTTAAGCTATCATGATTTTAAGTTTAATTGTATAAAGAATTAAACTCTGTTATTTTAAAACCTTTTTGAATTAAATTACCCTGGTTTTTGAATACTTAGGTCAGTATCACAGTTTCAGGAGAGGGCTATATCTCCTAGCTATTCTGTGCAAAAGTGTCCTATTACTATTTGTTTTGGGATAAGTGGGCCCTACAGAAGTGGCAGTGAAACTGTTCTAAGAGGACAATTATTTTAGAAATAATTTTTTTAAATCAATGATTAAAATTATTTTTATAGCACATTTCCTCTTTGTTCTTAGTTTTCCCAAACAAGTTTTAGGCACCTATGCTATTATTCAGCCATTTATTTAGAAATAGAGCACATTTAATAACACTCAGAACAAGTGAAAAGAATGCTCAGTGTCTTGAAGTTGGACTATGGGGAGAACCCTCCAGAAAATACTTGTAGGAAATATGCTAAAGTTTGACACCTGGCATTCTATGTGCTTTAATTTTACTGATTGGAATCGACTAGTCAGTTACTAATAGACCATAATGTCTAATACAATGTAGAATACCCTTTAGGTAAATCATGGTGAACTCAAGTGCCAACTCTTTGCACATTGACTGAAATTAGACTCCACAACCATTTCCTGAAAGAATAATGACATCTGTATCATTTGAAAATGACTTAAAATGACTCTTATCAGTTTGCAAATTATCTAAGGTGTCCTGTCTCAGATGAGTGTACACACACAGATATCATCATGCCAGTCTCACTTGTATGAGGGCCTCAGATACTGATATGTGGACAATCTGTATAATTAGCTAAATTATCTTCTTCAGCTTCATGCGTTCTCACAAAAATGTGCTTAGACCGAAGATAGCTCTGGATCACAGGCAAGAGCCAGAATATAATAAATTTGGCTACATCTCTCAACTTTTCCTAGTAGCTAAATGCAACATATAGATGAAGACTTTCCCATCACCCTCAATTTCATTAAGTCACTTTCTGAATTTCCCTTTAGCTTTTCATATAAAACAGAACTTTAATCATCATGTAATTAAGCTTTCACACATCATTGTAACTAAGCATACTCCATCTTTCTCTGTGTTTATGGCTTTTTATAGTCTCTAATTAGCCTAAGTCAGAGCAAAATAAGTTACAGTTTTCAAAAGTTCTGTTTAAAAAACTAACAAACAAAGCTTCTTTCTAGTTTACTGTTAAAGTTCATTTTCATTAAACTTACTTGAAACCGGTAAAAGGTGCCATCATCCTTGAGTGTGAGGACGTGATCTGAGATGGGAAAAAAGTAGCCATGAGCCGCCATTAATGTTCCCAAATGGAGCGCCTCCACTGTTGCATGAACACAAAGAAAGAAAGAACATAGAAAAACTTTTTAAATGTATTGATTTACAGGAGTGCAACATTGTTCTGGCTCTTTTAGAGCACACGCGGGGCATTCTGAAAACCTGGCTTTGTAATTTTTCTTCTTTTTTAGCTCTTTCACACAGGTATTAAGATAAATCTGGTTCCTGGTAGTGACGGCAGTGACCAGCCTCATCCTATGGTGACCAGCCAGTGAGCTGACCAAATTACAGAACACTGAAATTTTAGGAGATCAAATTACAGAACACTGATGGTTCAGAAAGTCCTTCTGAATCTTCACAATCTGTCTCCCTCATTTTATAGATGGGACACGTAGTAGCTTTGTGTTAATGTTCTCCTGCGAAAATAATTCTTTTGGCATTTATTTATATAGCAGTTGAACTTTTAAAAGTTTTCGCTTGTATCACCCCTTTCACTGGATTATGGCTATAGAATACAATCAGCAATTTTTCTAATGATATGGGCCATTATTTCATGTTAACAGGGAATGTTAAGGCACTGAGGACAGCTGCACTATTGAGTCTACAGGTCTGTGATTTCCAGAATGTTCTAGCTTTCACTATTCTATGCAGTATGGTAGATATGGACTAGGAAATGGTTTATTTGACAATTAAAACATTGTAGTCACAATGTAAAATTGAATACTCATGCTCCTTTTATAGCAGCCAACAATTTCTTTCAACAATGAGGTTATTAAAATGTGGTCAATAGAGTTACTACCACATTTATGCAGGGGCAACACAAAGTTTGCTAATTTGAAGTCTAGAAAATATGAAACTATGCAAAATAGTTTCTAGTCCAACATAATGGTATTGTATACTGACATCCCTCAGTATTCCTAAGGGATCAATTCCAGGAAAGATGCCCAAATCCCCCAGTCTGCTCTCTGAATCTGAGGGCACGAAACTGCAGATAAAGACCAATTGTATATAGCAAATACCAAAAACATTAGGTTTGTTTATATGTCCCTACATATGGTTCATTTACAGATTCATTTATTTCTTAGACAAGTGGCTAAAATGGTTCTATCACTCTAGGATTCTTACAGCAGTCCCAGGACTTTGTGGACCTATCTACACCTCCAGTCATCAATTATGGGTAGTTTCACATCTCATCAAGAACTGAGTCACTAAGCAGAAAGCTATGGCATAACTGAGTGTAAGAATCTCCTTTCCTCCCTTTCCCCCATGCCTACATAAATAATACATTTGTAGTTAAATTTTTTATCTGACATGGGGTATTATGGTGCTCCTTGGAATTGTTATCTACAATCTTGCAAACATTTCAATTGATAATCTCTACCTCTGGTTTCTCGATACTTTTTGCTGATAATAAAGAACGACTGAAAGTCATTCACCTTACCATGTCTTTGGAAGACTGATATTAAGTCCCCCTGTTAACTTCTCCCAACACCCAATCCAGTCTTTTTCTGCATAGAACATTGTTTTCATACAAAGGAGCATATTTTCTCATTAATTTCGTGTGGTGCTAGGGTGTCACTGTGGGAAGAACAAGAACTTTGGAGACACCCACTATCTTTTGTTACTTACATTCTCTGTGCCTTTCCATCTATTACTAAAGGTCATAAACCCACCTTGCAAATTTGGTGTGAGAATGACATAAGAATACACGTAATGAAGTTGGAGCAGTGCCTCCTGTACCGTAGATACTCAGCATATGGTAGCTATTGTGCTTTATTATTTACCCACTGAATGATTTTTCCTTTTCATCTAAGTTATTTTCAGAGAATCCACTTCCATAAATTTGCCTTCAACTAGGTTGAGTGAATGACTCCAACCAAAAAGACATAATAAATATTTGAGGTGATAGATAAGCTAACTATTCTGATTTGATCATTGTGCATTTCATGTCTCAAAATGTTACTCTGTACTCTACAAACTAGACTTAATGAGGGAAGCGGACAGTCCTGAACTGCTATGACCATCTTCTTATTTTTTTGGATTGTTTATAAAATTAAAATGGTAAGAGGATCTAAGAGGCCTGGCCAAGTTCTGAGTCCTGGAACCCACTGTGAAGGGGTGAAGGACTTGCCATCCCCAAATATGCCAGACTGGTATATTAATTATTTCAAGTGGAAACATTGGATAAATTATAGTTTTGGAAAAGGCGAGCTGATCTGTCTCTTTTTGTGGCAGTAAGTCATAAAAATTCCTCTGGAATGGTTACTCTGCCCAAACCAGGGCAAAAAAATACCCCCTTTCACTGGAAACTGGAACTGGGGGCTGAAACGAATCTGCATAAATATACTAAACAAAGTAAACCTTATTTTCCACTAATTTTATCTCCCCCCATATCCCCTAGTGACTCCCCTAGACGTTTCCTGCCCCTAGACAAATTCTCTTTGTCGTGTTATTTCTTCTCAAATTTATCATTCTTTGTCTAAAAAGGGTAAAAGCACCTTGCTTTAGCCTCTTCTTCAGACTTCCCTCTCTTGTGAAGATATCATTCAGATGAAAAATAAAATGCATATGCTCTTCTTTTATTAATCTGCCTGGTGTCATTTTGGTTTCAAGAGCAGCTGAAAAGCCCACATAGGAGGTTAAAGGGGGTAAGAGGTGACTCTGGTTCTCCTACTCCTGTCAGGAACCATCAGATAGAGCAATATATAACATCTACTTCAGGATTCCAAAGTCAGGTGGCCCACCTGTCTTCTAATAGCCATCTTTATTCATACGAGTTTCAGTAGTCTGGGAAAATAGTGTTAGCACACTTTCCAGAAGACAAATTAAGTTATGGCACAAGAGGAAGTTTGCAGTGCATACAGACAAGAAGGGGAAACTGAGATGCCCAGAAAGACAGACAGTAAAGAGCTTCTGAACCCTGAATATAGGAACAGATGTGATTAAAAGCAAAGACATAACAACAACAAAAAACAGTGGGGTGCTAAAGTGTTGATGAAGATTAGAAAAATGTAGTGAAAGAAAATCTAGAGACTGCAAAAATGAAAGTCAGAAGCCAATGAGCTGAAGAAGATGCTTAATTTCCTGAGTTTCATCAGCTATGAACTCTTACAGATCATACACTTCTAGAGGGCCCAGTGCATGTTTACAGTTCCTCCCCATGCAGTGCTACCATCATTAGGTCTTAATAAATGCTTACTGGGCAACCCTCTTGGGTTCCCTTTCACTGTGGGAGCTTTTCTGTCCTCTCAATCAATCCTGCTTTCTAAATAAATAAATGCTTGCTGATGAGAATGAATTAACTAGTAATGCCATCTTCCTTTCTTGAGGTACAGTATTCTATTTTTGTTTGCTTTGACGATATGCATTCTCGTTTTACTCCTTCTCCAAGTGACACCTATGTTCTATAATTTTATGATTAAGGAGAATTTGTTATGATAATTTTGCAATATTCCATGAATTCAGTAGATATATATTGGTGGGAATGTAGACAAAATTGAAATTTGAATCATACATATTTCATAAGTCAAGGTTAAATCAAACTTTCCAACTTAATATTTAAGAGGATTAAGCTTCTAGCAATGCTTATAAAATGATTTTAAGGTTTGTGGTCAAATAATAATCTAGAAGTTGACATTATAGTAGACATTGTGTGCCCACTACAGGATCTTAGAAAACATGGCTCCAGGGCAGGATAAATGCTTAGATGAAAAGACCAAAACAAAACAAAAAGACCAGAAAGTTGGGGTGAATTTTTTGCTTCATTTAAGGCTACAAGCTAAGCACTTAGCTTGTCAGTAGCAAGTGGTGATTAAATTATCATTCGCTAAATGAAAGAACAAGTAAACCTATAAAAAAATGACACATCAAGAATATGAAAATCATAGCACTGCATAGAAAAATAATAAACTAATTATTTTGTGTTATAAAAATGAATAGTTTGTTCAGCTCTTCCAAGATAAATGCAGATGCTCACATTCTCTTTTTAAATTACCTTTACAAGCTTTGGAGGTGGGGCTATTGTAGCTATTTTGTTAAGGGAAAGGAAAAGATAATAGTAATATTAACTTCATAAGTGCCAGTAGGAGGTCTTAGAATTGGCTTGGGGTGGTGTCCTCAAGATCGACTTGTTTGTTATTAGTGATAATCATGGAGCCACACATTCATGTGGTTCCACTGTGTCTATGCCTAAGCACCACCTTAATAAGAATTGAGGAGACCACTGATGGTCTTGGAACAAAGCGTTGAAAGAGTTTAATGAGTAATCCATCAAGATCACCCTCCCAATCATGGCACACCAGATGGCTCTGCAGCATTATGCTTCACAGCGAAATAATCATTAATTAATCTTCCTGCACATGTGTTATTTGCTTCACCCACACAGCTAAATTTCAACAATAAGCCTACCAAAAAAAATTCCAGTTTATTTTTTTGTTTGAATATGCAAGCCATGAGCAAACTGAAAAATAAAAATTCATCTCCAGACAACTGTTATTAGGTGAACAGCTTAGTGCAGTTTTGCTAAGCCTGATGCGTTCACAGAATTACCTTATCTTCAACTCTGAAGCAAAGGAATTGTCCTTTAATAGGAAAGGGAATAAATAAATAAAAGCAAAGGAAATTCTATGTAGCATAATTTGCTTTTGACTACAGCTACGTCAAAGTTAATAGGATAAAAAGTATATTATAGAGGAGGTTTGAGTTCTTTAGTGTAACATAGTGTTCTATATTTACAAGGTAATTTTAAAATTCAGTAATATTTTCCTCAGCTAGAGGCTCAACTTCTAGCAGTCTCATCTGATTTCAAATGAAGTCCATAATTTTGAAGTGATAAGAAAATTACCTCTGAGTCAGGAAATTATAACAAAAAACTATCTCACTAAATCTAATATTTTTATTCCTGTCATATGTTATTTACTTTTATTTTATGTGCATGCATTTACAATTTTTATTGTTTCATTACCAATACATCCATACGATTAGCATGTGGAAAGAAATATCACAGATGAAAGTCTAAATTTTAAAAAATGACAGCTGATGATATGA